TCAATTCACCCGTACCAAGCTTTCGTCAGTGAATTATTTAGTGGCAAGCTCCCCTATTAGTGGGAGGTTCTTCACATCAAGAATGGCATCTGAAGGTTGGGCCATGAAGCTAGAACAAAGGCTTCACTGTGACGCTCAAGTCACTAAGGGGCTACGTTATCGCTGTGCGCAGAAGGCAAGGCTATCGTCAGTTGCGTAAGGCTTCCAGAAAAAAGCTAAGGCATAGCGCCAACTGCTTTCACAAAGGTGTATCGCCGTCTGGTCACTTAAGGTGTAACGCCGGTCGCTCTTATGAAGATTATTATTATCTTCCCGCTGAGATAGTATCGCCGTGTGCAAAAGGCAGGGCTATCACCGTCTCACAACTAAGGGCTATCGCTATCTCACGACTAAGGGGTTATCGACGTCTCACGACCAAGGGGCTATCGCCGTCTACTGAAGTAAATCAAAAGCACCACACAAAGATCAAGACAAAGCGTGGGTTAATGCCATCTGCATCTAAACCTGTACTCCAGCTGTTTGCACATGGCACATGTGCGGCATACTACGTCCCTGGAAATCTGGGCACGCTGCCTAACACTCGTGGTGTGGCCTGTCACTGCGCATGCGGAGGGTGACGGTCTGTCGTCCCATGGCCCTTTGCCTCCCGACCGTTACAGCCTCGTGACGCCTCGGGTTCTCACCGGCATTTCCTCTCCTCACCGGGAACTCACTCCTATTGTCTGAGAAGCCCTTCCCCGTCTTTTCCCTCTCTTCCTCTGCTGACCGAAGCTAGTGAAAAACTGCCCGGAGTTCCTTGAAAGCCCTCTGCGACTTGTCGGTTACCCTTCCTCGTTCTTCTACAGTTCGCCACAACTCACCGAAATTTCACTGTGTTTCTGGGGAACCCACTGCTGCTCCTACTTCTTCTTTTCCGATAACCAGAAGACCGTTAGAGTTTCATGACCTCTCTGCAACCTGCCGGCAACAACCGAAATACCGAAAAATCACCGCAACTTCGGCAAGGTACCACTATGACCCTTGCAATTTCACCAGAGTCTCAGTGAAGCTCCATGTTCCCTGTTGAGAAGGTCTCAACACTCTTTCAAGAAGCTCGCAAGCGCTCTGCAAAGGCTCACAACTCGCTAAAGTTTGCTGGAGAACTCCTGAATGCTTGCACACTGTGCGTTTTGGCAGGGAAACTCTTGCCGGAGGTCTCTTGACGAAAGTTCTGGCACTCTTTAAAAACTCTCGTCACTGTTTTACCTTTCGGTAAAATAGTAAAATGGGGTTTTACCCCCTTTTATACTCAGTAGTGCCATAAAGTACCCCTCACAAGTTCAAAATGACACCCCAGTCGGCATCCTCCGACCACGATAGGTCCAGGCCAGGGCGGGTCCAGCCCGAGACCCGAATACAAGTCGTTGCCACCCTTGCCTCATGAACCTGCTGCCATCTGTCGTTATTGCTATGCCTAGGAAATCATAAAGATGTTCAAAAATACATGGGAATATGAAGGGGTGTGTGAAAAAGCCTTGGAAATGCATAAAAATACATGAAGAGGCCTAAATATTCAAGAAATGTGCTTAAGATGCTCATAATATGCTAAAGATTCTCAAGAAATGATCAAGCCTGCTAAAAAATGCTTGATTATGTCCAAGGATTCTCAATAATCAAGGTTATGCTCAAAGAATGAAAAATTATGCTAGACTATATTCAAAAATGAAAATTCATGCATACAGTTAAGCATGGAGCATACAAGAAATGGAAATGGGAAGCATGAGATGATAGAAAGCATAGAAATCATAGAAAAGAAAGAAGAAAGGAAGAAATTATTACCTTGAGGATTGGAGGAGCTAGCCATGGCTTCAAAAGACCGTCTTCAAGGCCACTTTTCTTACTCTAGAGTGGTCTCTCTCACTTTCTCTTACTAAAAATGAAAAAATGAGTAAGAATGGGAAAATGGAGCCCCTCTCACCCTTATATAACCTTTGAAAAAGCCTTTTCCTCCATATGCCCTTGCAAATCCTTCATCTCAACAAAGTCAACAAAGAAAGAAAGTGGAATTTTGAAGAAGATAGGGGGCCTTTAGGTCAACAAAATGGGCAAAAGGATGCCCATTGCCCTTACACAAGCCTTGGTAAACAATTATCACCAGGGGTAAAAACGTCCAAGTGGACATTTGAGGTGTCAAATGGCGTCAAAATGGGACGAGGCCGGGCTTGTTACGAAGCTCAGGCCCGACACTATGGGGATCGACCCAGGTGAGCCAAAATCTGGCTTCCAAACCAGGTCCCGGGTCCATTAAGGCCTGAATAGACTTCCCCGGATATATCTCGCTCTCTCTCTCGTCAAATCTCGTGGGCCCATATCGTCACTCTCTTCCTCACTCTTTCTCTCATCTCTCTTTCCCTCTTTCGTTAAGCCTCTCGGTCCCACATCACTCTTTCTCTCATTTTTTTTTCTTTAAGCCTCTCGGTCCCACATCACTCTTTCCCTCTTTCTCTCATTTTTCTTTCCCTCTCTCTTTCTCTCATTTTTCTTTCCCTCTCTCGTTAAGCTCTAGGTGCGGGCCTATCACTCTCTCTCTAGGTGCGGGCCTATCACTCTCTCTCTCTTGCTCTTTCTCTCTTCTCTCTCTCCCTCTCGTCAAAGCTTCTGGGCCCGTCACTCTCTTTCTCTCACTCTTTCCCTCTTCTCTCTCTCTATTTCTTCTCTCTCCCCTCATCAAGGACCCACACCTAAAGGGCAAGCCCATCTTTCTCTTCCTCTCTTTCCATATCTCTCTCCCCTCATCAGAGAACTGCACCTAAAGGACAGGCCCGTCGCTTTCCCTCTCTCGTGCACGGGCCCATCACTCTCTCTCTCCCACTCCATTTTCTCCCTCTCTCTCTTTCCCTCTCTCATGTACAAGGACCCGCAGCAGGTCCATGACACCTTCTCTCCCTCTTTCTCTTTTACTCTTCTTTCTCTCACCTCACTCTCTTCCATTCACTCGGACCTGTCGTAATGTACAAGGAAAGCATCACGGCATTCTACAGACCGTGATGATTTTAAAGTTCCAATATACTCATAACCATCATGATGTTGAAAACACCGTGATCGTCAAGGGACACATTACGGTGTTTAAAAGGTCGTGATACCCTACAATCTCCAGTAATCCAATAATCATTATGGTGTTTAAAATTTCATCACGGTTCTAGGTCGATCGTGATGCCTTCACAAATCAAAGACTACCATGAAGGGTATTTTTGTTAAGAAATAGAAACAATGGGAAAAAGCGGCATGGATGAGGTTTTTGAAAATTTGGGGTTTATTTCTAATAATCGAAGAAAGAAAAACATGCTTTTGATAATTTCCCTTTAAATATTTATTACTCGGACTATTTTCCTTGACCACAAGCAAATATTTATAACAAAGATGGATCAATCCAAGAACACATGACAAGCAAGAGATTGTAGATTGAAGTCATAAGTAATAAGATTGACATTGCATACCATGTGCACTCGGAGAAAAAAAATTTCCTGGACAAAAATGGCATGCTCTGTTGATGTTGTTACTAATGCAGCCACAACTTGACACTGCCAAAGTGAGTTCTCAAAAGATGACGATGAAGAAGGAAGAGGTGAAATTTTCCAAAAATATGAATAAGAGAAATGTGAGAAGGATGAACTCCATTACAAGAGAGGGAAAAGGGGGAGCGAGAAAGCAGAACTCAAAACAGACAGATTGCGAAAGACATTGAGAGAGACAATAACCCATCAAAAAACAAAAAGATGATAGAAAAAACGAAGAGGTAATAAATATAGATGTAACTGCATAATTAAGAGAGAAAGAAGAAAATTAAAAGAGAAGCCTTTACAAAAGCCCAGCTCTCTCTATCGATTTCGCTTATAAGGAGGTTTGAGTCCTCGGCAAATTAAAACAGAGTTATTAACTTGTTATTCATTTTCAGTATCCTCAATATATAATTGTGCAGGGTTACAATTTACCTCAACTTTTGGGTTGACCCATCGAAGACTGAACTCATTATTTGCAGGGACATCAGGGATCTTCATGAGGAAAGCAGTCTCAGAGAGATTGAATTCCCTGGCGACAAGCTGCATCCATTTATCCGACATTATCTCGCTCAGGTAACACACAGCGGCCGGATTTCCCCCAAATGGACGATGAGTGAAGGCATTGATCTGAAACAAACAGAGAGTGTGTGTGCATGTGTTCGAGAGTCTGAAAATCGGTGGCGGAACAAAGGGAAAGAAAATCAGAGAAATAAACAGAGGACGCACGTGTGCATATTTGATCCCGGGTTCATCAGAAAGCCATGGGCGACTGTCCATCTCCAAAGACTCCACTACAACACAATTTACACTCTCTATCTCTCCTCTAATGGTAGGTATATAGAATTGGCCCCAGAGGCGAGGCTTCGGCTTCTGCTGAACTTTATAGTTCCCACTGGATGATGGAAGCCCACTTCCGTAGCAGACTCTGCTGCTGCTTTTGTAGCTACGGAGATTTCAATAAATGTGCGGCTGCGGCTGCGGCTGCGGCTGCTTTCGTACCGTGGGTAACGAGTTGTCCGGATGGGAAGAATGCCCAGTCATTACGCCCCATATTCCCATTCATTGCGTAAGATTGTGTACTTGTTAGAAAGCGTCGTCTATCCAAAGGATTGGAAATTTATATTTAGAGAAAGTAAAGTATATATCTCTTATTATTTTTAGTGTACTTTTTAATATAAAAAATTACTGTATAATATAGTCAAGTTTTACACTACTTAAAATATCGTAATATTATTTTAAATTACTACGGTATTTTAAATATCGTATAAAATATGATATATATTACGGTAGTACAACTACCATGAAGGTCATTTTGGTAAAAAAAAAAGGCGAACAAAAAAGTGGGCTTCCACTGGATGATAGAAGCCCACTTTCGTAGCAGACTCTGCTGCTGCTTTTGTAGCTACGGAGAATTCAATAAATGTGCGGCTGCGGCTGCGGCTGCGGCTGCTTTCGTACCGTGGGTAACGAGTTGTCCGGATGGGAAGAATAATCAGGCCCAGTCGTTACGCCCCATATTCCCATTCATTGCGTATAATTGTGTACTTGTTAGAAAGCGTCGTCTATCCAAAGGATTGGAAATTTATATTTAGAGAAAATAAACTATATATCTCTTATTATTTTTAGTGTACTTTTTAATATAAAAAATTACCGTATAATATAGTCAAGTTTTACAGTACTTAAAATAGCGTAATATTATTTTAAATTACTACGGTATTTTAAATACCGTATAAAATATAATATATATTACGGTAGTACAACTACCGTGAAGGTCATTTTGGTAAAAAAAAAAGGCAAAAAAAATTAAGCCAAAATTAAAGTATATTTGTAATAATTAAATTTATGTTTAGACAATAAATTAATTTTGTAGTTTATTTTTTATAAAAATTACTTTTGTGAGGCAATTTTGTAAATATTACTACAAGACAAAGGGCTCTTTTGTCATCTCCATAAGGGGTAAAGTTAAAATTTTAACTAAAAGACAAAGGCACTCTACAAATAAAGTTCAAAGACACTCACTCACTTTCAAAATGTCATTGAATTTTTGTGAAAATTTCAAATTTTCCGTTGAAATGGTAAAGTTACCAATTTAAATAATTTTTTAATAAAAAAGTAATTATTGTTTTTGATAAACACATCCATCACAGCTCCTTTTAACTTAAACCTTTGTATTTTGAGGGTTTGTTAATTTTTTTTTTTATTATATATATATATATAAGTCTTCCCAACGCTTATAGGCGAAAATGAACAATGATTTCACCTATCTCATCACCATCCAAAGTTCATCGTACGGTCACGATTGTCTGGTAATGTTTTAGTTTTTATTTTTTTCTACAAATTGGAATGACCTAAAATTAAAGCATATGTACATCTTAGTGAGGCGCACCTAATAAACTTATAAAAAAATTATTTCGTAAAAAATAAATGACCAAAATACCCCCGAATATTTTCGAAGGTATTTTGGTCAATATTTTTCATGTAAAATATTTTTTTGATATTTTTCGTAGATGCAAATATTTTTTATGAACACACGCTTCAAACTGGAAGATACTACATAACGTTTATAGGCGAAAATTAACAGTGATTTCACCTACCATCATCACCATCAAAAGTTCATCGCACCGTCACTATTTGTCTGGTAGTGTTTCATTTTTTATTTTTTTATTTATAAATCAGAATGACTTGAAATTTGGAACGTACGTTCATAAAAAATAGGCAAATCTATGAAAAATATCAAAAAAAAATATTTTACGTCAAACAAATTGATCAAAATACCCTCAAAACATTTTGGGGGTATTTTGATTAATTTTGTTTTCACGAATTATTTATTTTGTATTTTTATTGAGTGCGCCTCACTAAGATGTACGCACACTCCAAATTTTAGATTATTCTGATTTGTAGAAAAAAAATGAAAAATGAAACACTACCGGACATTCATGACCGTACGATAAACTTTGGACGGTGATTAGGGTAGACAAAATCACT